TCTGTCCGGTGACTACAGCGCTCAGAAGCGGCTGGGCAATCTGTAAGGCTTGCACTTCTCCGGACTGCATTTGTTATCAGGTGCTGCGGTGTCAAGCTTATCACACGTTTTAGCACACAGACGACCAAGGTATGAGACGCCCGGTGCAGACTTCGTGGGTGGCGCATTTACAGCGAACGCGGTGAGCGGGCTGAGGCCGGCACCTTGAACCTGTTCTTGTGATGGCATGTGCAGTCATAGGGTATGTAGCAGCTTGTGTGTTCCAGGCGCGTTGTTGCGGAGGACAAGTGGAAAAGCATCTTGGCTGAGCATCCGTCTTGAAACCCTTAGCTCGTTCAGGCGGAAACCCGCATCATTGGCATTCAAATTCAAACCCGAAAAATCCACGATGCGATCACGCAGATGAGTCGTGATGAGCCATGACGTCCATGTTACTGTTACTACCAGCTGGAGCACTGATTGCAATGAGCCCAATGGCGGTCATCGTGTAAAGAGCGCTTGTTCATCAACAAGCTGTGTAGGAAGATTAGCAACATCTAAACTAGCTGTGGACCCTTGGCTTCAAGGAGGCATTGATGTGTTGCTAACCAGTGGCTGGCCCCTGGGCCTCGACAAGCGCTTGGAGGCAAGGGATGCCAGTTTCCACAAGTAGCGTCCCATTGCGGCAATCCTGTTTTTTCAGGGTATGCATAACAGGAGACCACAAATTTCGGAATGCCACATGCGAAGTATGTTGTCTAAACCATATCAACAGTGACATGCTCTGGGCAGCAAGTCCGACATGGGCAGGCTTCTGCGATGCCCCCGCAGGTGGACGGTTCGCGCTGGCAGGAGGGGTGTGAAATTTATGGGCGACGTTATGCGGCCGATGTGGGTTACAAGAGTTGCCAGTCAACTGCAATGGAACCTATGCGGATCCCAAGGGTATTTTTTCAATTGCGTAAGTGCAACAGAAGCTATAGCAGATCCCTGAAGCTCAATGCTTCCGGCTCTGAGTCCTTTGTCACCAGGATGATTCTGTAGGTTCAATGCAGGGTGAAGTGACAGAGGCAAAGCGGCGAACGCTGCTTTCCCTTCAGCTTTTAGCTTTGCAGCCTGAAATGTACGCAAATGTTACCACAGTGCTTGTGGTGGTGATGCTGGTGGAGTCAGTCGTAATTTTGAGTTTGCTGAGTATCATGGAGATTGCCCAGCAGGATGCTGCAGCGCCTCCTTTTGCGGAGCTGTGCGCAGCGCTGGAGCCCCGCGTGGGCCTCAAAACGAACAGGGACAGCGATTGGCATCCCTTCAGAGCAGACATAGCAGAAGGAGATACAATTAGCCAAGGGAAGATTCGGCTTGCTTCTGGATTCCGCTGGTGTCCATTCTTTTGGATGCTGCATCCAGGATGCTTGAAACATCCCAAGTTCAATCCTTTGGTTATGCTTATGATCTAGAACTTCTCTCAAATCGCCCAAATATCTTGCTGATCTTGTGGCCCTAAGTGAAAGGCAGTGTAGTGCAAGCAGGAAACTGTGGCATGTTCATGCGGCAGTTGCAGCGAATACCTCGATTGGAGCGCAATCCATACTGCGGAAGGATTTCTGTGCGAAGTCATGGTTGGGAGATTCCTGGGAGGCTTGATCATTTCATCCAGAACCTTTTTGTCAGGACCTGGAACTTGCAAGGGTTTGGCTCCCAAACTTCAAGCCTGGGCATCAACACTCCCGTCCAAATAAGACTTTCACATGGTGGGCCCCCTGTTCCAGGTTACCACATCTACGGAATGGCAGACATATTCTACCAGCGGACGCCGTTTAAGGCCTGGTATTCCTAGTGGCTAGTGCTACAGATTGACGCTTGCGGACTTGTGGCACTACTGTCAATGGTTGAGGCTTCATTATCTCCTCTTCTCATCATGCTGATCATGATGCTCGGTCTCATTGCTCTTACTCACTTTCTCTTTCTTGTATTCTTCTTCGTGCTGCTTGTGTTTTTGCTATGTTGACTGTTGGCGACGACCACCACCAACACTACTCACTATTTCTTCCTCTTTTTCTTGTTCTACTTCTGCTGCTGCTGTGCTGGTGATCGAGCCGCCTGCGCTGCCGCCGCCGCTGCAGCTCGCCTCCTCCTCCTGCAATTCGTGCTCCTACACCTTCCTGTGCTCCTGCTAGTTCCTGCTACCGCTGTGCATACCGCTGCCACCGCTAATTACTTGCAGCCTCATTCCAATGGTTGCTTCACTTCTGGTAAATTCGCAGTTCCATACAATTGAGTTGATTCAAACTAAAAGCTCGCCAGCCAAGCTGTAGGCGCCCCGGCGCGAGCATGCCTGCCGCTGCATAGGTGCCAGCTTGCTCAAGGGTTCACTGAGCTTCACAGGATTCGAGTTGGATGGCTTTTTGGCCCAAGAACTGATGCAGGATCCGCCGTGTGCATCGTGAGTTTAATGTCAACTCCAAAAAAACATGGGCTGAGTTATGTAGGTCCTGGCATGGATCATACTGGTTGGCTTTGGCCGTGAGTGCTTTTTATGCCTACGGGATGTTCCCTCAGGATGCAGGTGGGTATGGTCCGCATGGATCTAGGGAAGTCCGCAAGTGCCCCGTTTCATACAAAGTTGCGTTCGTTGTACTTCAGATGTCGAGTCTGGGAACAGCTCTTGCGGTGTCCTTTCTTTGGGAAAAGATTGGTGCTTCGTCTCATGCTAGGTTGGCTTTCGCTTATGCAGTGGTCAATTGGTTTCAAGCACTTGCGGCGTGCACTAGATTCAGCTATAACGCTGATTGCGAGTTCGGAAACGCCGACAACGATTTCGACATGACCGTAACTGCTCTTCCTCGTCTGCTATTGTATTTGATCTGCATGTTCATGATGCAATATCTAATTGCTGCACGACTCGAGCTCCTGGAGCAAACTTCCCGTCAGAAATACTGCAGCGCGTGCTTTCGCATGCTTGTCAGGTCGCAGGTCTTACTGGTCCTATGCGCCTGGCTAGTGGGCGACCATCTCAAGGTGCGATATGGCGCGATCCTGGTGAGTCTGATTTGCAACATTATCACAAGCGCAGTGGCAATTTGCTCCCTCACTCGGTCTTTGACCCAGCTGCGAAGGCTTCTGCAGCTTGCAAAGCGTGCAGATGCGCCCATTGCAGTGAGATCTCTCTTGAAAAGAGCCCGAAGCTTTGCTGTTCTACAAGCCACGGGGGTATCCTTCAGCCTCATGCTCACAGTTTTGGTACTTCCTGCAGCTTGCTTGGGCTGGTCAAACTATTTTGACTTTGCCAACCTGGACGTTTTTTCTCATGAGGACATGGGTGCTGTTACGTGGGTAATAGTTTTTGTTCAGGCGTTTGATCTCCTTGGAAATGTGGCCGCTGTGGTGCTCCCGTCTGGCAGTCACAGGTTGAGTTCGAAAGAGAGCCAAGCCAGTGAACCAATGTCAATTTGCGCATGCCCAATATCAGTTTGCCCGTCCAGACCCATGTCGGTGAAGCACAACACAGGCAGTCCTGCTTGGCAAGCAAAGGTTGAAGAACTTTCGTTGCGGGGGATGACGTTGCGTAGCATTTTGCAGTTTTATCAGGACGACTTGCCTTTCATACCATCCTGGGGATATGCGCCCAGGGAGCACAAGACCAGAGATGTGGTCCGCAGAGCAATCATTCCTCTCACCAGCGCAGAAGAATGTTCATACGCAGGCTCAGCTTTGAACAGGGATGGTGCTCGAAGAGCCCAAGTCATGGTGACCCATAATTGGGGCAATTGTTTTAAAGATTTGCTTGCAGCCGTCGTTTCAGATGCCTTGAATGAATGCAGCTTCAACTTGGTAGCGAAGCTGCTAGAGGAAGATTGCACGTTCGTGTTCGAGATCCTGAATAAGAGCGGTCGCTTGGATGACACCTACTGGATTTGTGCCTTTGCTGTTAACCAGCATATGTGCATTTGCCACTGCAATCCTTACGACCGCGATCCTTTCACAAATCAGCTGCATCCGGTGTGTAATTGCAGTAGCGTGAATATTTCTGATCCAGATGGCAGAAGTACCGAGTCAGAGATCAACAAATTTGATGACATGATGTACAACCTTGCAGCAACGGGAGGTTGCAGACAAGTAATTGCGGCTGACCAATCTCTGGACTTGTTTAATCGTGCTTGGTGCATCGCTGAGATTGCGGAAGCCAACCGTCTGGAAATGAGCCAGGCATTAAAACTTGCATCCAGAGAGACCATCATGCAGCACGCGCTCAGTTTAGAAGACCTGGATGTCCGGAACATGCGTGCATCTTCCGAAGCGGACAAGCAACTCATACTCAAGAAGATCAGAGAGAACACGAGCATCGACGAATTCAACGCCGAGCTGAAAGTACTCATTTTTGACCCGAGATCTGGCCTTCTGGCATCCTGGAAGACTATGGATGGTGTGCGACGATTTGGAGAAGTCGGCCATCTAATTCGATGGGGGCTTCTTGATGCAGGCACTGGGAAGGTGTGGAAAGCATGGGAAGCCCATGAATGATCCAACTTCCCAGCTTACGCAATAATTTGAATTTAAATCCATCCCAACAGAGGCATGCTTGTGAACTCGTCGCAAGCCGAAAAAGACAGCAAGGCTTGCCGTTTCAAGCTGACCAGAGGCAGGAGAATCTTCTGGAAACATCAAGCCCGGATTAAAGCATCCCGTTTAAAAAAGAGGTTATGCATGGGTGCATGGCATTGCTTTTCGTGGCATCCCACACCTCGACCCTGGAACCTTGCGCTTCTTTTCGACATTGAGAGGCTGAAGACATGGGTGCGGTCCTCCCTTGGGTTTTTCAGGGTTTCAGTATGTAGTAGTTCTAATAATCTGTAAATTCATTTTCGTAATGCATACAAATAAAAGCATAAAGTTCAAGATATAGCATCCAAAGTAGATCTGTCATGGGTATCGGTGGATAAACCCACAGAACCAATCATCTTTACAAAGCACACTAAACCACAGCAACAGCCAATATCCAACAACTAACTTGGCTGGAGCCCATGCCAGGACTCGGTTGTGTGGGCAGCACGTCGAAGCAACGTAAGTGGCTCCATGCCCTCTCGCTTCTGGGCACAATTCCTGTGAGTCGCTAGTTGAGTTGTCAGCAGCTGTTAGCAGCTAGGGCATCACTGTTGTGAAGTTTCACACTACTGCGTGACCGAATGCCAATGATTCCTTAGGTTAGGGTGCAACCTGGCACAGCAGCTCGCAATTTCTGTCTTGTGATTCTTGCTCGCCCCGCCACATGCTAGGCTACTGCCGTCACTTCAACTCAGCAGCAGTTTGCCATCCAACCATGGTCCTAAACATCTTGCAAGTCTGGGTGGTATCTTGTGGCCCTCCGAAAGGCTAAGCCCCATGGATTGCATGAAGAAGGAGGACCTGAAGCAGCTCCCGGCAGGCAGGGCCATGCACAGCCAGAAAGGGCTTTGAGGAGTGTGGGGCCTCACGCATTGAGCAGCAGGGCTGAGCGATAAGCTGGAGATGCTTTCCTATGCGAACCTAGATTTATGGAGATCAGACTCTTGAAGCAACATCGCGTATACCGGCATCGGGCCCTAAAAGCTCAGCCCAAAGGCTTGAGGGCCACGCGCCTCACGCCTTGCTTGCATCATCTTTGCTAGGGTTTCCATACTCTGGTCATCAGCTGTGGTCACGGTTGCCTGCGGCTGCTTTCATAAAATCGTCCAGCAAATCGGTTGTCAAGTCTAAATATGGCTAACATTCTACGAATAGGGGTGGTGGAGACTGGTTTTTGAAATTCTGCAGTCCCGTATGCTCAGTGCATACGTGTCACCAGGTAGATTGTCAAAAAAACAACCGAAATCCTAAACCCAAAGCCCAAGATGTTTTGGAGTGAATGCACACCCCATCAAAACCCCTCAGCAACCCTGAGATGCCTTCGGGGTCAAGCATGTTCATAACCTTGCACCCTCAACTAGCGAGTAGTTGCCAACTGCTTTTCCATCTCCCTAATTTTGGTCGTTTTCATTTGCTTTCTCATTCCCCCCCAAACCCTAAAACCTACCCCTTGGGCCCTAAACCAATTGGGGGGAGTACGTGGTTCTGGGACTGAGCCAGGAACCGGTGCCTTCCCCTTTGCCGCACCAGCAGCACGTACCTCTGAGGCGAAGGCTTCCTGTGGGGGTTTCCGGAAGTGGGGTACATGGAAGGACCCTGTGGATGCACGCACATATATATATATATATACATATATGTATATATATATTCATACGCATGCATACATACGCAGTATATATAGTAAGCGTATGTATATGTACATAGATACACCCCTCATATATATAAGCATATATATTTGCATGTATATATATACATATAGAGATGTACATGTATAGAAGGCCAAGGAATGCAGGCCTTGAAATTTCCACTTGACGTTCTTTACAGCCATGCAACTGCAGTAAGCATAATATCATCATATCAAGCTCCCAATCATTTGATCCCCCCTACACCTACAACATGACCTGGGAGCTTCTCCGGATTGGGGTGAACCAAAGAATCATAAAAAATTGTGTAAGGGGCTCCCAATCTAGAGAAACTTCCGCTCCATGATCCTTGGGCCTCTCAGGAGTCCGCTAGCCGCCCAGAGAAGCTTGCCAAGGCGGGCGACGCCGGGCCAGGGCAGCGATTGTAGGGCCCAACTGAGGTACCATTCAAGCCTCACCAGGGTAGTAAAGGTTTGGGTAATTCCAATGATACTAGGAGTGGGAAACAAACAAACCAACATCCTCCTCAGTCAGCCGCAGCCTTCAAAGCCACTGCCTGCGCCCTTAATCCAAAACCAAGTGCTTGCAGTAAACTCCTTAAAGGGGGTTAGATAGGGGATTATATAGAGGACTAGTATATAGGGGCCATTAAGAGGGGTACTAGCACTTTTGCTCCCCAGTCTCTGGGAATTTCTCCCAGACGCGATGAGGACCACGAGGCCGGAGAGGCCGCCTTGACGAAGCTGGCGGTCGGAGATGCGACTGCTTTTCAGGCAGCTCTGGCCGCGCTGAAGGACACTTGATGGTAGATTACTGGCCTTGGTGCTTGGAATGAAGGAATGGAAAAGAAATGGAAACTATTATAATGGGTTATTCAGGGATTACTAATTATGCGTATTTTGTTGCTCTGGAAACTAGGGCTCTTCTTGTGTAGTGCTGCGTGCTCAGAGACTGAGATCCTGGGACATGACTCCTTTCAAGAGTGCGTTCGTGGATCCGTGCGCATCACATCTACGAATCAAGCCTTTTAGACTCGCCGGTGTCGTAAGGACAGCATGGTCTGGATGGGCAATGTGAATGCAGAGCCGCCGCCAACGAAGAAGGCTGCCCTTCTGATTTGCACAGCCTGCAGTATGCGGGGTGTTGGAAACCTGAGGCGAAGACAGACGGAGACGCGAGGCCTAAAGCGTTTTTGTTTCCAAAGGTCTGTCTTACCCTGTGTTCCCACTGCTTGAAGATGGCAAGATGCATGTCTGCTTGGTACTGTACTGTCTGCAGGGAACCAGTGCCGCTGGTTGGACCTGCGTCGCCTTCGAGTCTGGATAAGGCATCAGGTTCATGTCAGAACACGGAAGCGTCAGAACTGAATACCCATTCCCGATACAAGGACGAAGATGAAGAGGATGAGGATGCGCCCGAGGCGATGCCATGTGTACAGCAGTCAGAAGCAAGTAGTGCTGAAGTGACCACAGTGAGGCCAAATAGTCGAACATGATTACACGATCGGCTCCTTGAAGCGTGAGCTGTCAGGCTATTGCTGCTCGTCAGCAGGCGCAGGACAGAAATTTGGTTCCGCTCTTTCTTGCACAGGCTGCTACATGTATCACCGAAACGTGTGGCATGTGAGTTCTTCAGGGATGGCTTGCCTTGTTGCCGACAAAGGTTGAAGTTGAGTGATGGCAGAATCTAGACATGGTAGTTTCCCAAAGCACGTCTAGACTCTGTAGGTTCCCAAAACAAGGGGGCCCGAATATTGTGAGATAATCCTTGTTACTGGGACTTCCAAAACAATTTTGGCACATCATTGGATGACAGACCTGCACCGGAGGAGAACCTGAGCAAGCCGCCCAAGAAGGGCATTGCGCCTTGGGGAGCAACATGCCAAACTGTATCTATAGATGTTAATCAGGGTCCAGGGGCCCTTCGAAGTGACAATCACCAGATCATTGAAATGGTGTCTTTCAGAGAGAGTCTTTGGTACATCATGTGAACGTCTGCATTGCTCTACAGTGCAATCCTCCTTCAAGAGCTTTTGCCTTTTGCTGCATGCTTCGGCTTAGGTGCGCTACACCTTCCGAGATGAAGGTCTGCTCGGGATAAGACTGTCCCGTGACGTGCCTCCCTGGATTCTAGAGGTGCGGGCCTCTGCAAACGGCACAGGCAGCAGGCGGCACACATGGATTTTACTACCACAGGTTATCATTACAGTGTTTCTCCGGTTCCTGGCTGGAACATCCCTGCATATCTCTCCATGTTTTGAGAAATTTCATCTGGCAACTGGATAGATCAGTATTGATGTCAAAACGAGATGCAGAGCTGCACTGTAGGCGAAGGCTCGAGTAGCAGATGATCCCGCTTGGATCGTAAAATGCTCCACTAGTAGTTTCTCAAAGCGCCGGCTGGACTATTATTCCCCGCGACATATCCCTGGAGTCCCCGGAGGAAAAGCTCACGCGGAGAACATACATCTGCAAGCGTGATTTGACTTCTGGTGCTCTGCAAGCTTTGTCAGCTGAGGTCCGCGAAGGGACGCTCTCGTACAGGAAGAATCCTCGCGTTCCTGTCGGTGGGGCACCGTGGCCGAAAATTAGTTTGCATGCGAAAGCCTGAGCGTATGCTCTCCGTCTCCACTGTTCCGGTGCTGCTTATCTTCTCGGATGCTTGCTTGTAGCAACCACGTAGTCCATACTGCAGCGTCAGCTGTCCCAGGGCAACGCCAAGCTCGGTATATCTCGGCATAGCATGGTATATCCATGCAGAAGAAATTTCAGCACAATTTTGGCGTGTGTGCTGCCGCCCACCCATCTTATGTGTGCGAACTCTTGCCCTGGTTGGATGTTGTGCGCTCTGCTGCATGGATGCTGTTCAAGCATACATCCTCAAGCTGAGGTGGTCATAGCCATCAATGGCTATGACCTGTCCAGCAAAGAGAACCCCTGGGCGATCAAAGCGCGATTCGGCTGTTTCTAAGGTACATGGATTGGATTCTTTTATAGGCGTTTAGTCTCGTCAGAGCTACGCGGTACAGGAAGATCTGCACAGTGCCGTGTCTCCATAGAGGTCTTGCAGAGCTTTAAGAAAGATGTTTGGAAATGGGCGGATGTTGACATAAACCCCATGCTTTGCAGTCTGCGTAACGACAGGAGCTGGCAGAGGGTGGAGCAGTATGTTCTGAAAGGGTAGCATTGTGAGACATCCTTAGACGGTTGATTCCTACTGAGGCTCGCAAAGAGGCCAGTCGTTCTGGACGTCGACTGGCCCATCGATATACCAATGCCTTCTGTAAGCTCTGCGTAGGGTCGAAAAATTGTTTTGCCATGCCTGCAGCCTTTGCCCCACAGCTCTCACATTATACGTGGCTCAGCCTGCATTGTAGCATTCAATGGATTCAAGGCTTGGACAGGTCTCTGTTTGTTGTCAACAATTTTCTGATCAATCCAGGTCATCCAGTGCGGGGGATGCACACCTATAGAATCATGGAAGCAGTTGCCATCTCGGCCCATGTACGTGAATGATGCTATGCAAATCGTTCGCCTACGTAGGGTTCGGAGTTGCAGGACAGAAATGGGAAAGAACAGTAGTAATAGTAGCCATGAGTAGTCACAGAAGTGGGACTGTAGCAACAGCAGTAGTAATAACAAGCGTCCCTGCAAGTCATATGGCAGTAGAGACAGCCCAGTGCGAGCGCAGCAACACTGACGGTAAGAGGGTCAGATAAATCAAAACTGGCACCGGCCTCCCCAAACAATTTTAATCAAGATGGCCACTCAGCCTGAGGACCATAAAGCTCTGATCTGTTCCTCCAGCCATCGTAGCCCACCTCCCAAGTTGTATTGCTAATGCTTGGTGCTGAGCCAGTTCCTCCTGCATGCCTTGTTGCAGCATCAATATCAAGACCCCTAAATGATATAGGAATTCCCATTCTGTTTTTGCATTATTCCTTCCATAACTTCTATAGTATGACCCTACATAATCCCGATTAATCTCTTAGCAAATGCCTAGATGAGCCAGCCTTTCAGAATTGACACGCGAGGCCATTGGGAATAGAGGGTGCTCCTGGTGTACCAGAAGAATGAAGACTGAATTGGAAATCAGATGGAAAATGACATGAAAACTACTCTCTCTATCTCTCTGTCCCTCTCTCACTATATATACGTACGTGCTGTAGAGATTGTATCACCTTTCACACATACTGCATACTCATCAGTGAGGTAGACAGGAGCAAAAGTACAGGGAACACGTCTTCGAGAATTCGGTGCAACAAACAAGCCATGAGAAACAGCTACAAACTGGGCATGCTTTGGTTCATTATGCCACTGGCAAGAGATCCTGGTGCCTGGGTTCAGTTCAGAGCCAGAAGACCTCTGTGTGATTCTAGAGGACGTTCCCTTACCTTCATCATTCAGAGAAATGCTGCGCAACCTTTGAATCCCCAGGAGTTCGAATCTCATTGCGGGCAGTTGAATAATGATCTTCAGAGCCTGCTTAGGCTTTCAGATGTATGTTGAGGGTTGCGGTTTGGCATGATTTGTCCTCTCATGCTTTGTTGCAATGTTTCTTGCTCAAGATCCGCTTAATCTAGTGAGCGCTTGGAGGGCGCGGAGACCATGTCTGCATGATCTCCAGGAGTTCTGCCGCTTGGGTGGCACTCGCTGCCTTTCTCCTTGCTGCTGAAGAGGCAACGGCTGTTGAGGCCGGACTTTGCAAGCTGAGCCTCCCATCATAGGCAAGGGTTTATCTCCCGAAGTGCTTTGTGGGACCCAGGTGTGGTGGGGAATCCCCGCAGCAGATCATGTTCCTGCCTATGTTTCACGGCGTGCATTGGCTATCAATGACGGGGGGTCTGCAGAGTCGCTCAAGAAGGAGGGTGGTCAGAACCGGTGGCTCCTAAACAGGTCCACGTGTGGTACTTTGCTTGTTGTGGCTGTGGTGCTGGCAACGCTGGGCCTTCTTGTGCAGCTGCCTCGTTGGCGGGAGCTGATGTGCCCAGCAGACTTCGCCCTGTACGTCAGCTCCTCAGATTTGTAGGCTCTGACTTGATTGGGGATGCTTGTGCAATGTGAGGCTCCTGCATCACAGAACAGTGACAGTCGAATGCTGGACCTGTTGCTGCACTGGTACGGCGTAGGCTTGGCTTGTTCAGGGTCGTGACTCAAAGAAACGTCAGAGCAGCAATCCTCAAGGAAGCCATTTGCGTGAGACCCCTTCACCAAAAGATGCTCCTTTCGCTTCCTGTGCTGCTGCTGCTAGTGCTGCCATGGGACCACGCATGCTGAGCTGGAAAAAACAGTCGGTCCGCCAGCCAAACCCAGAAACTTCCATTCCACCTCAGAGATCACAGTAGTCCATTCGGTGGACGTTTTGTAGCAGGGTTGTCTTCTTACTGTTTTTGCCATTTTAAACTCTCCATTACTCCATTACTGCTGGCGGCCAATCAGCCAATCGTCCAAGCAAGCAGATAAACCTCTACATAGCCAAATACATATCTAGACAAGCGAATATCAGAATAGCAATAGCCAACCGTTCATTATAATCAGATAGGCAGAGATGAATAAGTTGATGACCATAGATAGTCCAAGTAGACACTGAGACGGTCACAAAGACAGATGGACACACATATACAAACAGACAGATAAAGACGCAGACGGACAAGTACAAAGGCAGACAAACACACAGATGGACAAACACACGTACAGACAAATACACAGATAGACAAACACAGACAGACAGACATACGTCCTTGTATAGACGTATTCACCATTAACCCAAAGTGACGTGCATTCATCCAGAGTGGTGCTGGCTGTTGCTTGGGTTTCATGTCGAGCCACCAAATTCAGGCGCTTGCTGCGGTTTCTGTTAGGTCTCTGTGTGCTTTCTGATTTCTGCCTTCTGCCATAAGCAGAGCAAGCTCGGCAGATGCCTCTATCATCCACAAAGCACCACTGCAGCCCATGGGTTTTGCATGTTTTTGTAGTCTGCCGTGCCAAGGCGAATCTGATGATCTGTGTCCAGGGCTTCACCAACTATAGCTCTGTGCTGCCCAGACCCATTCTTCAGAACATTTTAGACTCAGTGTGAAGTTCCCTAGTAATCCCAATCCAAATCCACAGTGCCACCCCCGGCCTTCCACCGGCTCTCCACTCATAGCTTAGATGTGTTTCAATTCCAAGGGTGCTCTGTGCGTTCCCGCTTTGCTCCGCCTTGGGTGTGGCGCACGCAGCCTCTGTGTCTGGGCTTTTCATTGGGATCTTCATGACGGCCAGCGCAGCTGGCACTGGCGTTGCCTGGAAGATCTTGAATATGTACCCAGACCTATGGCAGAATGACATCAAGACCTTTTTTGTTACTGGGCTCTCTTGTCAGTTGTTTGCAGCTGCTGGCTTGGCGCGAGTTGCTTGGGCCAGGAGAAATGGGGAGGTGGACGTCACGTGGGTGTCTGTCCTTATGTTATTTCGAGTTCTCCAGGGCTTCGGTCATGGCCTGAACGACCAAGTCATGAAATGCTGCATTGTGAAGCTTGCTCCAGTCAGTGATAGACCGCGCCATTCTTTGAATAAGTTCGTGGCCAACACAGTGGGGATCGGCTGTGGTCCTCTTCTGGTCGCAGCTGCCTGCTTCTTTTTCCGGGATCACGATAGCAATGAACCCACAACAAGAGCTGGATCACAAATAAGTATGCTCACTGCCCAGCTGCAATTTTGGACGACGGCTACGGTCCTGGCAACCACTGTGCTGCTCTATCCTTCCATGCAGGCTCTCTACAGTATCAGTTTTTTTTTGCCAGGGTAGGTAAGGATAGGCGCTTCACTACTGAGCCAACACGCTGTCCTTGTCTCCGCAGGATGTGGCGGCAGAGCATGGCAAGGCAAGCACTCCTGTGCGAGGGGACCAAGCAGTGGTACTCATCACTAGCACCCTGGCTGTCGCAACCCATGGTTCGGGGTTCTAGGCGAAGACCATTCTGAAATTCTCAAACTCAATTATACCTTGTGGTTGGCGGTGCCTGCAGGGCAGAAACTCTGACGTTAGAAGGTCTCATTGCATGTTTTTCAGCAGAGTCCTCAACAACAAATCCCAACAACACTAGCCAGGCAAGGACACCTGCAATGGGGTGGGAGGAAGAAAACTAGACGACGGGAGCCACAGGTTCAAATTAGTTACAGCTTCTGGGAAACTTTTGGGACTGCACTGCCCGCAGGCATCATCGTGGATGCGCTGCGTGCCTTCATCGTCTCTGGCGTGGAATCGGCCACCTGTTTGCTTCTCCAGGATCGTTTTGGATGGAACGACGGCAGTATCGGCTTCTGCATAGGGCTTACTTTCTGCCTGACGGTGCCTGTCTACCTTCTGCACCGGCAGTACCATGGTCGTTTCCAGGACATATCTCTTCTGAGGGTCTATACAGTCGTGGGCATGCTGGCGGCCATACTGCTAGGCCGGCAATGAGCTTGCAAAACAAAAGTTGCAAGGTTTTCAGCAATCAGATCGATTCCAGCCATCGTTTTGGAAGGCATCCATCAAGTGACAGGGCTCAAGCACGTGATAACAAACGAACTCAACACACAGCAACAACCGCAGCCGCCCGTAAACAGGATTGCTCCCAAATCATCTAAGAAGCTGGCCGCGTCACAGAATGTCAACTTTTGCCTAAACGTTTACTTGACGTCCTTGCCAAAGGAGCAACGACAGCAGCTGCGAGGAGGGGGGCGAGGAGGGAGACGAGGAGCAGGAAGAGGAGCGGGAGGAGTGGGAGGAGTGGGAGAGAGAAGGCGGAGGAGGAGGACGAGGAGGATAGGACGACGATGGCGGCCGCCTCGATGACAAGGACAAGACAAGCTGGCGGCGATGATGCCGGTGGTGACGACCTTGAGACGATGACGATGATGACGATGGCAGCAAGAGGAAGGAATGAGGGGGGAAGCAGAAGGAGCAGGAGAGGAACCAAATCAAGGGGTAGCAGCAGCGACAACAATCCTCAAGTAATATTACTAATAGTAACATTTCCAAAAACTAATAATAACAGCATTCACACTTGGTGACACTAGGTGACACTGCCCTGTTCGCAGGTCTTGCCCAGCATCCGCTGCAGATTCTTTGCGCGGACTCTGTGATTTTTCCCACCACATACTTGGCTGGCGCGTTGAACATGGGCATTCTGAACAGCAATGTCTTCCCAGATGGGTCCCTACTGGATGCAAACAATGTAATGCTCATTAATGGCTTGGTTTCCAACGGCTTAGGACGCTTCGGTGGCCCCGTCTTCTCTCGGTCCCTGATTGCAGACCTTGGGCAGATGTACTATGCCGGATGCCAGGGGCTCGCTATGGCCAGCATCCTCGCGGGCACTAACTTGCTCGTGCCTTCAGCTTGAATTTCGTGAACAGGGCCCCATGACATGTGCCAAAGCATCAATGCTTGTTTTGCTCCTGGGATCAACTTGGGTAAGCCAACTTCAGCAGCCATGCTTTACTCCTTCTTCCCCTTACTTATTGTGCGCCCCGGGAGCTTAAAAAGCAGAAGGCTAATTTCACGGGGCATCGAAAAAGACCGTGCGATACAATGACAAATTGCAAAGAGAGACAAGAGCCGGGCATACTTTGCCTAATCATGTCCATTGTATCCCATGGCACCTGGGAAGGACCCTGGCGTTTTCGTTCAGTTGAATTGTAAGAGCCTGTACATCTCCGTGTGATTCGGGAGGATGTCTTTTGTGCCTTCGTTATCCGGAGGAAGTGCACCACACCCTTGAATCCACAAGGGAGTTGAAATCTGACCATCGAGTACCAGCACTTTAATGATGATTTTAGGAGCCTTTGCCTATGCTTGGGCTTGCCTGATGGATGTCGGGTGTTGCAGTTTGTTTGGTGTGATCCGTGTTCCCATGCTCTGTTGCAGTGTTGCTGTCTCAAGATCCGCCTAGTGAACGTTTGGAAGGGGTGAGGAACATGTCGGGATGATCTCGAAGCCTTCTGCCACTTTTGTGGCGCTTGCTTCTTTGCTCCTTGCCAACGAGGCAAAAGCTGTCGAGGCTGGGCTTTGGGAGCTGAGCCTGTCATCATCCATAGTCATAGTGTTTCTCCCTCATCCCGTATTGAGCTCTATGCTTTGTGCGACCCAGGTGTGGCGGGGAATCCCCGCAGCAGATTATGTTCCTGTCTACGGTTCGCGCCATGCATCGGCTATCAAGGACGTGGAGCCTGCGGAGCCCTCCAAGAAGGAGTGTGGTGAGAGCTGGTGGCTCCTTGACCGGCCGATGTGTGGTACCGTGCTCACAGTAGCGGTGGTGCTGGCAGTGCTGGGCCTGGTTGTGCGACTGCCCCGCTGGCGGGAGCTGATGTGCCCAGCAGACTTTGCCCTGTACGTCAGCTCCTGAGTGTTCTTGTGGTTGACTTGATCAGAAGCCAACCTGAAGTGCTTTGAATAGAGGCCGCGAAGCAACGAGATTCATGTTCGGTTTGGGATTCAATTGTACTGCTCGTATCAATTTATCGCGGGCATGGCGGCTTTGGCTGGCAATCCCTCTCCCAAAACCCTTACCCAAAACCCTGATGGCGTACGAGATCACGAGAAGCCCATGTACAAAGTGATGTTCTCATTACTCTGGATTGTGTTTTTGGGCTTCAAGGTCTAGTTACGTTGTCGATTATTTTAAAGGAATTTCTGCATTGCGGCCGCCTGGTGGGGCTGCACATTTTGCCCGAAGACCGGAGACACATTTTCAAGACACATGGGTCTAGGACTGAGGCTCCGAAGAAGGGTTTGCGCAGACACCAGCAGACGCATGCTAGGCGAAAACAGCGTTTGAAGACACATTCCCAGCGAGGACACTTCTTGGAGCAAAGTCCGGTTGGCGTCCCAAGACACTGCCTGAGAACACTGCTCTAGCCAAGACGCTTCTGAAGTGAAGCAACGTGGACGTCAGAAGACATCTGCCACAGACATTTTGGGGGAGGTGGGGGTGCGAAGATATCTCCCGCAGACTGATGAGAATGTGTCTTCAGACGTCGGGTTAAATGTGCACCCCCACTGGTCCCCTCCCCCCCCTGCGTAGCTTTATTCAAACTGGGGGGGGACCCGTGATCGAAAGGAGTATTTTGCGAGGTAGGGCCTTAATTCTACTAATCATGTTTATGTGGGAGGGCGCGTGTGCTGTGTACGGAAGCATAATGAGCACAATTTTTGGGGCACCGTTTTGGGTTGAATTTGCAGCATAAAGATCTACACGCCCGGGAGAAATCAGCAAGCTTACCATGGTTAGGCCTTAGCAGCCTCCCAGAAGCCAGCATCATCAGCATCTCAGGTCCTGTCGAGGCTCTGAGGATCCATCACGCCTCCAAGCCTCTTAGGTATGTTGAGGTGTGAGAAAAGGAAAAATGCAAGCCCACTTGTGTTGATACTGCTGGCCGGTAAAATTGCCGGAAAGCCTTCAAACAACGTACTTTTCCCCCGAAGCCGGTAGCTGGATGGGCGACGCTCATGAACATGGCGCAAGAAAATTTCAGAGTAATTTCGGCGAATTGTTTGAAGCCATCCTGGACTAATAAAGCCGTCCCACAACAAAAACAAGCGCCCGGTTTGGTGTGAAAACTTTGGATGGGTTTCAACATTTCAGCGCTTTTTTGAAGAACTAGGGGGTAGAGGTAGGTTTAGACGGGAATCTGACTGCAAGTGATGTGATGGGGCATCGGTTTTGGGGGGGTGGACCAGGGGGTCGTTGAAGTTCTGGACTTTGAAAGTCCCCTCCCAAACCCCTACATGCCCCCACGGACTCACTAGACACTGGCAGACCCTCAAAATCTCTTTCCTTTCTCTTGTTTGTCAACGCTTCTGTTGCGAAACGGGGGTTGGCTTGGGGCGTGGCCACCTATGTAGTCCCCTCCCTCCCGAGCTCTCGTTGCGGGCCCTCTACCTCTAGGCACCCCGTGTGGCGGAGGTCTAGCACAGTTTAGGGGGTGCACCAGGAAGGTCCCGGGGAGCCAAAGCTGGGTGGTTGCCCGGAGGATTTTGGTGCAGGTGGTTGAACTGGTTCTGAAATTCCCTGGAAAGCCACGAAATAGCATCGGTTGAGCAACATTCAAACCCGTTGTCGGCACTGAGTACCTCCAGGAGAAGCAGACAAGTACTTGGAAACATCAGTCTCCAAGGTCCAATTTACTTCTACTTGCAGTCATCTACTCCGCCATACCGAGGTGAACTTAATGATCTGTGTCCAGGGCTTCGCGAACTACAGCTCTGTGCTCCCCACACGCATTCTTCAGCACACTTTGGGATCAGTTGATGACATGATGCTGTGGAGCTTCTGGGGGAACTCCAGCAAAACTCTCTCTTCTCTTTCGTACAATTTAGTAACAGCAGATGCAAGGGTGCTCTGTGCGTTCCCGCTTTGCTCCGCCTTGGGTGTGGCACATGCAGCCTCTGTGTCTGGGCTTTTCATTGGGATCTTCATGACGGCCAGCGCAGCTGGCACTGGCGTGGCCTGGAAGATCTTGAATATGTACCCAGACCTATGGCAGAATGACATCAAGACCTTTTTTGTTACTGGGCTCTCTTGTCAGTTGGTTGCAGCTGCTGGCTTGGCGCGAGTTGCTTGGGCCAGGAGAAATGGGGAGGTGGACGTCACGTGGGTGTCTGTCCTTATGTTATTTCGAGTTCTCCAGGGCTTCGGTCATGGCCTGAACGACCAAGTCATGAAATGCTGCATTGTAAAGCTTGCTCCTGTCAGTGATAGACCGCGCCATTCTTTGAATAAATTCGTGGCTAGCACAGTGGGGATCGGCTGCGGTCCTCTTCTCGTGGCAGCAGCCTACTTCTTCTTCGAGCAGCAAGATGGCAGTGAATCCGCACAAGGAGCTGGATCGCAAATAAGTATGCTCACTGCACAGCTGCAATTCTGGACAACTACTTCAGTCCTGGCCACCATTTCACTGCTCTATCCCTCCATGAAGGATCCGTTGCCAGAGTTAGGGATCGCCAGACATGAGTGTTTTTCTTCAAGGGCTTTGTCTTCCGGTTTCTGCACTCGGGGGTTGTGACAATGAGCTATCAACTGATGAAGGCTCCGGAGTGGATGTTCGCTCGTGCCCAGGATGTGGCTGTGGACTATGGCAAGACAAGCGCTCCAGCTGGAGGGCACCAAGCAGTAGTGCTCATCACCGGCATCCTGGCTGTCCAAAACTAGCGCATTGATTGCAAGTCATACTTTTAGTTCATTGAAGTACGCAGGTCTGCATGGCATATGGCTTGAAGGGAGATTTGTGGGATCTGCTGAGAAGGAGGCGGCAGGTTGTTTCAGGCTCGCCTAGGCAGTATCCTGGAGCATAGATTCAAGCATAGTAAGCTCAGTCTGATGGCTTGAACATATGCAACCTTGGGACTCGTCCCCCAGGCATCATCATGGATGCGCTGCGTGCCTTTATCGTCTCTGGCGTGGAATCGGCCACCAGTTTGCTTCTCCAGGATCGTTTTGGATGGAATGACGGCAGCATCGGCTTCTGCATAGGGCTTACTTTCTGCCTGACGGTGCCTGCCTACCTTCTGCACCGGCAGTACCATGGTCGTTTCCAGGACATATCTCTTCTGAGGGTCTACACAATCGTGGGCATGCTGGCGGCCATACTGCTAGGCATTGACTTGTCAAAAAAGGCGGCAGCAAGCCACCAGCCACAAAGCACTTCAAACGTAGTCTCAGGCTGCAGTTACTGTCAATAACTTCCTCAGCAGTGATATTCGTGGCAAGAGCAGCAGCAATACGTAATTATTAATGCAAGTAATATGAGTGGCAGCAGCAGCGGTTGTACACCGCCGACCACCCCACCGCGCCACCGCCACCGCCACTGATGACAACAACATGATCAACACTTAGTATAGACGAGTACCACAAGTATAACCGCTTCAAGTGTCCCCGTCGCCTAACATTTCATGCGCAGGTCTTGCCCAGCATCCGCTACAGATTCTTTGCGCGGACTCGGTGATTTTTCCCACCACGTACTTGGCTGGCGCTTTGAACATGGGCATTCTGAACAGCAATGTCTTCCCAGATGGGTCCCTACTGGATGCAAACAATGTAATGCTCATTAATGGCTTGGTTTCCAACGGCTTAGGACGCTTCGGCGGCCCTGTCTTCTCTCGGTCCCTGATTGCAGACCTTGGGCAGATGTACTATGCCGGATGCCAGGGGCTCGCTATGGCCAGCATCCTCGCGGGCACTAACTTGCTCGCACCTCCGATGTGAAACTCCTGGCTAACCTGAGCGGCAGGCGTTGTGACAAGTGCAACGCCCAAGGTCAGCTCAAATTCCTCGCCCCACGAACCAAAGCATGTTCGAGCCAGGGGCCTGTTGAATTTGCAGGTCGGGGACGTTCTGCGCTGATTCAACAGCAGCAGCCACGTTTCCCTCATCTTCCCTTCCATGAGTCATGGCACTCACTGAGAGCAGGAAAGATGGCTTTTTGCTTTTCAGATAGTTGTCTTTGGTGTGAGAAGTGCAGTTTTGGAACATCGTTGCTGCCGGTCTGTGCCCTCGGCTGCAAGTGCCGCAAGCTGTTTGAGGGGGCCGGGCATCGGGACAAAAGTTCCCACCTGAACCAGTACAGTGACTCGCTAAAGTTTGAGCCAGTTTTACGAAGATGCCTTGATGTTCCGTTGCTTTGCATCTTGCTGTTCATTCGAGGCTGGTGTGATGTCGAAGTCTGGTGTGGTCAAGAACTGGAACGATGACAAGGGCTTCGGGTTCATAGGCCTGGACTCTTGTTTTAGCCTGTCACTTCGAGTCGCATTGAGGCTTGTAAAATCAGCTGTGAGGGCCGGACGATGGCAGCGAGGACTTGTTCTGCCACAACTCTTGCCTCCGGGGCTGCAAGGGGCTCGGAAAGGGAGACAAGGTGGTCTTCGACTCTGAATACGATGACCGGAAGGGCAAAATGCGTGCCGTGAATGTGTCCTTGGAGGGCGGCGGTGGCGGTGGCGGTGGTGGAGATCGTGGGCGTGACCGGGACCGTGGGGGCTATGACCGCCGCGATGATCGGCGAAATGATCGTCGGGACGACCGGCGAGATGATCGGTATGGAGGGGGCCGTGACCGCGACCGTGACTACGGACGAGATGATCGCGGCAAGGGCAAGGGTGGTGGAAAGGGTGACAGGTTTGGAGGAGACACCCGCGGAGACGACATCAGCAATGGCGGCAACCGCCACCTAACCGCCAGGGAACTGTACATGAGGCGGGCTGTTGTCGAGGTGTGTCCAAGAGGGTACAGACGTAGAGTGCAGTGATGGGTCGAGACGCTGAAACGTTCCGTTGGTTGGAGGCACCAACAGGAGCGCGGAAGCCGGCGATCGCCTTCCTCTTCCCGCTCGCGGTCTAGGGGGAGGCCACTTGTCAAGTGGCAGGAAAAGGCTTTGATGGCTGATGGTACGACAGAAGTCCCTGTGGTGCGAATACTGCCAACAACGCACCCGTGCCTAGGGATCGCCGAGCCAACTTCGCTTGAGTGATGGAGGACGAGGTCCTGTGGTCTGCGGATGTATGCGAGTGTTGGCTTGACCAAGGTCAGAATCGGCAGTGCTAGGAAGCACTGAGACTTCATAAGTGCAGCACATCTTGCAGAGGTCAAACAGGCACAATTACTGGACGGCACTTAAGCACCGCCTCAAAGAGGGTTCAGCCTAATGACTTGGATGGCGAGACGAAGGATGACGTAAGCTCATAATTCACGGGGCTGTAGTGGAATGAAGAGACTGACCCATGTAGCCTTGCAGGAGGGCACCTCTCTGATCAGCAGCTGCCTGCTCAATAGTCTGATTTCACTCCCACCTGGTTGATTTGTCGATCAATTGGAGACGTGCTTTGTTGATATCTACATGGCCATGAAGCCTTGTTTGGCTCATGGCCAAGCTGTCATCATTCCATGTCAACCAGGAATTATCCCACGTTCCAGTACAGTTGACAGGTGAAGAGTTCCTGTAGTCCGAGAGGGGTCTGTGCCCTGACAGCTTCAGTGTCCTTGCACTTTGAATCTGAAGTCCCTGCACGACCGCCTCGGATTGAATTTTGGTGCAGAGGTGGAGGGGCAATGAAGCTTTAAAAAAGGCAAATAGCCCGGGATTGCATTAGGACTCGTACAGGTTATACGAGAAAAATCTGGTATGCTGAAAAGCTTGAAAACGCCTCTGATTCCAGGGAGGTCGCGCCTCTGCGCAGGTAGTGATCTACAACTGATGCCATTTGGTTGGACCCGGCCTTACTGGCCTGGTACGTACGCTGGAACCTGCGCAGGGTCCAAACAGGACACAGCCGACAACGGAAGTCCAAAAAGTGAAGGATGCCTACTTGCTGCCGAGACCGCCGAAGAGTGCTTGCAATGTGGCCAGCTTGTATCAACTCCGCGCTAGGACAGCTCTGTGCCCATATTACCGTAACATGTGGTAGTCGCTTACAAAAGGCACTGCATTGCATTGCACCTCCATTCCTTTGGGCTCCAGCTTAGAGCTCCCCTGGACGCAGCGCCCGTCGCACTTGCTGCTTAGAGGCATGCGGCAGGCTTTAGGGCAAGGCTGAGCCCGAACTAGGCACCACATTCCCCGCCTGACCTCGGCAAGCAAGGGGCCCCACAATTTTGAGGAACCCGGCATCTTTCGGAAAATGCAGGCCATGAAGCGACCGGCTGAGAAAGCCGAGAGCAAGGCCAAGCGCGCGAGGCATCGCAGGGTGCCACGCTGACTTGAGAGTGGAAAAGAGAATGACACTGTTGTATAGGGGCTCTATGGAAGGATGCAGGGATATGTTGGATGAGTCCCGCAATTTGGGTCATAAGAGTAGTCATCCAAATTATTGTCTCATTCTTCATCAGCCATGAAGCTTCAAGTAGTAGAAACCTCAAACAAGTCTGATACGACGGGTCTTCTAGTGAGTTTTTCGAAGTCTGATAGTACGGGTCTTCTAGTGAGTTTTTCAGGCAATTTGTGATGTTCAGCAAGTGATGCACTTTACACAAAGCTTTGCACTAATGACCTGGTTTGTTGTAGGAAAATTATGTTGTTTCACAGCGGCTATACATAAAGATGCCAGTTAAGACACTAACGCGAGGTGTCCAAATCAGACAATAATCATAGGCAGAGTGTGTACCGGGGTAAAGTTGCCTGTCAACCACAGCACACTGTTCTGGCATGTTCCAAGCTGCTTTCCAGTTAGGAAGCCAACCCATCCACGATGCTCTAAACGGATATCGACTATAGGGTGTGCCATCTTTTTCCAAACAAGTTTCAGGTACGTGGAGGCTTGCAGTGCAAAATCTCGGAACATGTTCCTTGGGCTCCTTGTGGCCAGGGCGGACCCGTACAAATCCTACTGCGAGAAGGTACGGGAGGGCTTGGAGCTTTCCAAGGCCGGAGCAGTCCAGGAAGTGCGATTGTCCTGATACAGATATGAGTGGCTGCTGATGATGCGTGTTTGCGCATTTCACTGGAAGCTGTTGGTAGAGAGATGCCTACCAGGTTTCGCCCGCGGTGGTAAAGATGCTGCGGCGATCTTACAGGGCTGTGTTGTCACACGACATGCAGCTTCAGGTACATTCTGCGTTCCTGTTGCAGCCTTTGTTTCGGCATCTCAGTCAAAGTAGCTCATGCACTTCGGACGCGATCTGACATGATGCGCGGCCCCTTTCTCAAACTGTATTTGCCTTTGTCAGGTCCTCCATGACAGACAGCGCCCTGCTTACAAGCAAGGCGAGAAGGGCAACGGATAAGTTCAGCAGATGTGGCATTGTCGCCGAACTGTCGCTTGAGAGGATAATCGTCACAAGTATCAAGCGTCCGTGGCGCAATCCTGAGCTGCAGACCAGAGCGGTGAGCCCTGTTGAAGGATCTTCTTTGCTGCGGGACTGAAAACCGACAAAGGTGCACATGGTGACAGACATCATCCAGGGCATCGGAGAGGATTACGAGAAGTCCATCGATGCTTGGCAGGTTTCAGGGGCAACATCACTGCGCATGAATATATTTCCTGGGTTCGATGTGAGCGCACAAAAGACGCATCCGCCAGCTGCTCCCACCAAGGCAGATAAGAAGTCGCAAATCGCAAACTGCGACACCATGCGTGCTGAGAGGGATGCTGACGTCCGCTCGGCTTGGTTTGAGAGCTGGTTCGTCAAAACTGAGGATTATTGCTATAACCACTATTATTAATATGATTTTTGTTGCCATTAATTATTACCATTACAAGTATTGTGACTATTAATGTGAGTCTGTACAACAAGCATGGTGACGAGGATTCTCTAGCGGACTCCTGAAGATGGGAACATAGTCCCTTGATACTACATTCCCATATTCCCTACTATAACTCCCATATATACCCCCTACAGTAGTTTCCATTTTCTTTTCCATTATCCCTATATGGTAGTTTCCCAAAAGAGGCCACCCCAATATAGACCCCCAAATACTATAGTCCTTATTAGAGGGACCCCCCCAAAAAGGGTACCCCTAATTTTGGGAAACCCCCATGGAACCATAATGCGATCCCATCCCAATATTACCCCAATATCCTGTTGTAGTTTTCATTTTCTTTTCCATTATCCCAATAGTACCCCAATATACTGTTGTAGTTTCCATTTTCTTTTCCATTATCCCAATATTACCCCTAAGCCCTAAACCCTAAACCCTAAACCCTACACCGGCAAGTCTAGCTGATGGTTCGGCACAAGGAAATGTTTAGGATGTAGGGTCTAGGATTTAGGGTATAGGGTTTAGGATTTAGGGTATAGGATTTAGGATTTAGGGTTTAGGGTTGAGGGATATTTCCCCAACAGTGGAGAAACAACAGGAAAAGAATATGGAACATGACATGGAAACTGGGATTACATAAGGTTTAGAGGGATTACGAATTCGCAGCCCCACACTTACTGGTTCTGAGTAGGGAACATGGGAATATATTCGCTATATAACCCCTGTATAGTATATTCCTTTATGCCCTACTCGCAACCATTAAGATAAGAGAAGATGGGAATATACTCCCTACAAAATAATCCCTGTATAATATATTCCATTGTTGCCTACTCACCACCAGAAAGACAAGAGATTCAACTTCAACCAAATCTGGCCCAAGAGCCAGGCCACGCCCAGGCAAAGCAATCGAGAGCCAACCGGGCAGTATCACTATTACCCCCTAAACCTTAAATCCTTAACCCCCAAGCCTGAACCCTAACTAGTAGTTTCCATTTTCTGGTCCATTATCCATTATATATATATATACATCCCATTTTGTTTGTTGAGCGAGTGAGGGTCCACGAAGGTCATAGAAGGCAAGGCACATGGCAGAACATAAAGATTCTGTCGTTTGCGCGGTGCGCACAGCACAAATGATTGCTATGAGGACTGTGGGCGCAAGGCCGTGGGATTCTGAACCTTAGGACGAAATGCCTGCAGTTCCAGCATTGCACGCGTGCCTGTGCTGAAGCCTCCGACGCTAGAAAACAAAGACGTGGGAGACTTTGCACGTAGCACAACAAACCCTCAACTGGCCAACAACACCTTAAATTTGAACGCTTCATAAATAGCACAGCAGGTGAAAGGCGCCAAAGATGACCTCGAGGCTAAGAAGGCAGCGCCGAAGGCTCAGCCTTCTCAGCTTGGGCCTTCGGTCGTCCTGCCGCGCTGGGGGAGTTTGGGTTTTGGATGCACATGAGTCAGATTTTGGGAATGCCAGGTCCTGGAGATGAGAATGGCACAGTTTATATAGGGGATTATATAGGGATTTTAGAGTTTATATTGGGATTGTATAGGGATAATGGAAAAGAAAATGGAAACCAGTTTAAAATAATAGGGTATACTGCTTGGTTCTTGATGTATCTTGGCTGAGGACCCAGGAAAAGAAGCTGGCACTCGCAGCAGATGCGCAGGCCAATCTAAGCATTTCCAAAGATTACAGATCTCTTTTGGGGGGTACCCATTATAAGGGTTTTAGTGTTGTGTGGGTATGAAGGGGAGGCAAATATGTTTGAATCCCCATGTTCTTGTAGAGTTTGACTCTGCGCTGGGTTAGACTTCTCTGGTTGCCGCTGGGATTGTAGCTGGAGAGATCAGAGAGTTCCAAAAACTTCCTCAGCTACTCAAAGAATGCTGACCAAGCACTTCTCCAAAGCCTACAGGTTGACTCGAAGTCCTCAGCTTAAAATCAGGTGTTCTTATGGATCAATGCTACGTAGTGTTTTGAAATATGAAGCTCTAAACCCCAATCCCTAAACCCTAAACCCAAAACCTAGATCTCAAGACTTGAGGACAGGCTTAGTTCCCTTTGCCCCGCAGGCCTTCAAAGCAGCCAAGGAGGGCGTCTCTAAGGCACAGGCCAGGCGCTACCAAAAAGGTGTTCAAAACATGTAGGCCATATGTACAAGTAATAAATAGATATATAGATATCTAAGATGCTAATACTAATGATATATATTTATACATATGTTCATACATATACACATGTATTTCCATTTTTTGTCTCTCTCTCTCTCTCTCTCTCTCTCACTCTCACTCTACCCCTTCTTCTAAAGCTGTATATGTATATGCGTATACACCCGTTCTATGAGGACTCTTCAACACCCCAGCCGCTTTCCTGCTGCTTGCAAGGAGGTCATTGGTCGGGGGGACGTGTCCATCAAATCAGGGGCCCTCATTACCTTTCAGCGCGAGGGTTTGTTTCCCAGACGAACCCTAAACCCTTCCAATCCTTTAAATCCTAAACCAGCTTCCATGGCCTTTTTCATTATCCCTATACAAGTCTATACAACTCCTATAGGCTCCCTATCCGTAAGTTCAGGCTTCAGGCTGATGGCAATTCTACCTGCGACTCCACTTGGGCCGTAATCATCTTTGGCAAGAACCTCCAAGCAGGGTGGGATTATAAACCCTCAAACTACTTGAATTATTGGGGGTTGGTAGGGCATTGGGGAGCATATTATTTAGAGATTACAGTATAAAGCGATTACATGCAGAGGCCGCAGTTCGCGCTGCTGACAAAGACTTGGTGGACAAGCAGAAGGCAAAGGACCGATCCTGGAACATACATGAAAAGCTGTGAGGATGAACATCGGTTTGAAGGTATTTATTGCTCTTACTACTCTTACGTGTGGGTTTTGTGGTTTTACAAATGGCTGAAAGTGTGTGTACAACCTCCTCTGTGGTCCTGTGGCCTGTGGTCTGGGTTTTGGGGTTTACATTAGGTTCATGGATGGTTTGTGGAGGGTTTCTAACCGCTTATAAGAACATATAACAGTTCATGTAAGATTTCAAGAAGGCTTACCAAGAGTTATGGTCCTGTAGAAAGTTGTATAGGATATGGGGACCAACATGATTCTTGTGACTTCCTTTGACATCCCCCCCCCCCCATGCTTACGGTGAGCATACATCATGTCATCACCATCTTTGCAGTAGGGGAAGGTTGTGCGGATCATTTCATTTTCAAACAGGGTGCGGAATCCCACTGTTTTTGACGCCATCCATGCTTACGATTGGCAATCACGGAATCACCATGTTTGCAGTGGGGGATGGTGGGGGCAGGTTGTGAGGATCCTTTTGTTTGCCAATAAGGGGTCTGTGCCCCGCCAATCCCCCTGCCTTTTGAACGCCATCCATGCTTGCAATAAAACACAGGCATTATGTCATCACCATGTTCGCAGAAGGCAAGGTTGTGCGGATCATTTTGTGTTTGCAAACAAGGGGGCTGCACCGGAAAGCCATCCATGCACCATGATTTCGCAGATGCGAAGCAGCATCGAAAGCTTCCGAAACCGGTGTTGCTAATGCTAATAGGCCTAGTATTTCCATTCCTTCGATGACCTGCATTATTAATGTGCGTCTTGCTGCTGTTGTTGCAAAGCCTGCTTTGGAGAGCACGTGTCGTAGTTCCTCGCGTGACTTTACCTGCATTTCGTCCCGCAGGGCGGGGCGGTGGTTTGATCTTACACGGTTTGGTATGGCTTAACCCCGCAGGTCGTGTCATTTTCTGTCGTTCTACCCGTTGTGCTGGCGTGCCAAGTTTTTTTTTATGGCAGGAAGGATTGATCCTGTCGGCATTTATTTGACCGGCGGCCGCTGGCGCTGGTCGAATCAGATCCGGTTTCAGGCGTGGAGTCTATGTGCGCAATCTTCTGCCACATGGGATTCCCAATGAACATTGCGGCGCCCGCTGTCCAGGTGCATCGTGTTCGCAAGCAGTTTCCCAACTTGGTGAAAGATCACACGCAGCCCTCCGTCAGCATCATCATCTTTAGCGTCCGAGCTGCCCGCGCCTCCAAGCCTACCGCTTGCTCAATGCACGCCTCGGTATTGTGCTTTCCATTCTGCAGCTCCGCCGCTGCTGCCTTTCGGCCCTTCGCCTCATGCAGGCTTGCCCAGGAGGATGTCAATCGCAACCCCGACGCTGCTGGACTCGCCCGAGTCTGCAGGCATGGCTCTCCGTCACAGCTACACAGCTTGTGGCGCTGCGGACTCCTGCTTCACAACGTATTTGCTTGCGTGCCCTTGTTGCTGCTGCTGCTGCTGCTGTGGCAGCTTCTGCCTGCTCGGCCCACTGCTCACCGTCAACGTGTCGTGCCCGCAAAAATGCAGACCAACCTGCGCATCATGCGTCTCAGAGTGACGCAGACATGAAGGTGGAAGATGATGTATCCAGGGGTCAAACAAGCAGGCTTAGGGGGGCAGAATGAGCGGTAAAGGGAGGCAAAAAAATAGGTTCCAGGGTCAAAAAGAACAGGTGTTGCCTTATTACCACTGCTATTACTACCACAGTTGCTGAAACAATGCCTGATGAAGGTTCTAGACTGGGGAAGTATCGCCACATATCGCCGCTATTGCAACAACTTCGATCTTTACAGGGAAATCAGGAAGCTATGGTCTTTCGCAGCCCCCCGTCCCCCCTTCACCCCAAATGCATACGGTAGCTACGTGCTGCGTACGTTTATATGTAGGTTGCATGTCTTCATTTGTTCATTGGATAAGTGAATCTGTGTCTGCACGCACTGATTTCTCATAAGGATACCCTACACATGGATCGTCAATGTTGAGAACCCCAGATACCAGGACAATCTCGAGTCCATGATGACGGATTTGGTCACGCCATTGGTGCAAGGACCCCCGGCTTGGGAAACCAGAATTGACACAGCGATGCAAGGTGAGGGCGACAGCAACGAACCCGTCCTCCAACTTGTATTCTTGCTGCTAGTCAGCTATTCCCCTGCTTTCTCTCGCGCTGCTTCGCATCCTGATTGTGCTGCTACGATCAGGATGGTAGTGGCAAGAAGCATTTCGTTTCCCCACACAAAGACGTGTCACCGAACCAGCTGTTTAGCGAAACTTGCAGCTGCGATTCGGCCTCCAGCACTTGCCCCGCCAGGAACGGTTTCGGGTGATGACGCTCGCCGCAGTGTCAGTCCCTCAGCAACACAGGCCGCAGGATCTTGAAGCTGAAGATACCCTTCTGCACCCGTGAAGTGGCTTTAGGATGTTGGACCATAGCCCTCAGTAACCTGGTTTCTACGGCAGCGGAGGCCGAGAATCTCCTGGCATCACTCAAGAAGCTGTCCATCTTGGATGAGCCTCGCCCCAAGCATCTTGGGACCTGGGCGGGTAAGCTACGGCAAGGAGTCGACCCCTTGCAGGAGCATCCAAGACGGCAGACTAGGGGTATCATGTAGTTGATTCCATTTTATGCTGCGCATGCGCCTGTGAAGTTATCTAGAATCGGTGGCATCAGCCCCCGAACGCTGACGATCTCGAGCTGATGGTCTGCAGGGGTTCTTGGAGTGGTGCCTGCGCAAAATGTGCCACTTACCAAACGCAAGCAACAGTACCTCTGCTTCTGGGCCGACTTCAGTTTAATAGAGGAGTGATGACAGGGCTCGATCCGTCCCTGCAGTTGAAGACGCAGCGGTATGCTTCATGAACCTTTGAGGTCCCTGCTGACAGCAATCCCTGAGGCCATCACCAAGGTGCAAGTTTGTGGCTTCTGGGAATAGGTTGGTTCTGAGTTCAGGGTTCGACTCACTGTGTAGGCGAAGTCTATGGCTTTTGGGCAAGCTCGCTTGCGTATAGCCTCAGCTTAGGGTCTGTTGCAAGCAAGCGGTCCGTACAGGTTTTCTTGGAGATGTGAAGCGGGTGAAAGAGCTGTGGATTGGTTCTCAAGTTCGTCAGCTTGCTGCGAGTTGCGTGGAAGTTGCAGAAATTTCAACTGCGGCAGCCAGTGCAGCACTTGACGCCCTAGCAGGAGCCAGCCCTCCGTGGAGCCTTTGATGCGAGCGTCCTTGCCTCGGCTAAGATTTTTTGCGCACATTGATGCTTTGACCAGTTAGCAGATCGGTAGACCATCGTCCCTTGCATGGTCTTTGGTTGGTTCGCTGTTCTCAGTACAGTGCAGATGCTCGATACTGCGAGATGTTGAGGTAATTAGAGAGTTGCAGCGAGGGTTCCTTTAACAGTTGCCCACCTTCACGGTTGTTGGAAGTTCTAGCTACCCCACACCTGCCAGCCCTGTGGCATAAGCGCTTGCCGTGCCAGTCTTTTATGAGACGGCAGACACTCTGGTGCAGTTCAGGTCGTGTCGGGCTTGCAAGAAGAACTGGACCGGAGAAAGGCAAGTGCAGTTAAAGCATGTCATGGCCACAGTAGTAAAGTAGTAAGCCAGTAAGCATTCCGGAATTGGACTAAAGTAGGGCTAAGGGATCCCTTTCTTCAGGCTCCTTGGAGGACGGGTCAAATTATGTTGGGAGGTAAGTAAGAGGTTTTCGCGCGCTGAAGGGGGGCCTGGTAAGTTGAAAGCTTGAATGTGATACCATCGAGCTGACCTTGACGGTTGCTTTGCAAACTTGATATTTGAGCGGGGTCTCGTCAGAAGCCTGTACTTATGCAGAAGCTTCCATGTTCTTCTCTTGCTGCACCCTCCTCCCAGGGTGTGGTCGCTGAGGAGCTGGCAGCCACTGCCCCCAAGAAGGTGGGGGATTGAAATATCAAGCAGAGTGACCTCTCAGTCTTTGACTTCAGCTTTTGGAGTCAGGGCTGAGATGACACTTTCTGCAAGTGTAACCGCAAGGGGTATCATCCTTCTGTGGCTGCTCCTTTGGTGCGACCGCATGAACTAACTTTTGCTAAGCGGCCAGGAAGAGCGCCATGGTGAGCTTTCGCAAGCAGAGGCTGTGTCTCAAGAGTTGGATGTGCGCATGTCCAGCATGGAGCTGCCATTTTGACCGCATTCCCAGCATAAGGGACAGCCATTGTTCTGTGATGGTTTGGGATTTTTTGGAAGCTACTTGTACTGCTCAAGATCATGTAGCCTGAACAAACCACTTTGATGTGAGTCGAGGAGTGTCAAGTGCTTGTCCTAGAATCTGTGCTGTTGCGCTAAGTCTTCTTGCTCGGTGCGAATTAATGGCCCATGAAGCTGACAGCTGGTGCCAAGGGTGTGTCACGTGTGAGATGGCACGTATATAGTATATTGGGGTTATATTGGGATAATGGAAAATACAATGGGAACTTCTATGATGGGTTATATGGGGATATTATTCAATTCAGGTGCTGTGATAGAGGGATCCAAGTAATGCAGACTGATACATATATATATATATAAACACAGACAGATGGCGCTCAAAACACCAGGCGGCCTTTGATGCGGCCAAGGCAAAGCAGCACCAGGGAGCTGAGGCCAGTCTTTGAGGCTTTAGGTGAGGGGGGAAGTGGCGCCGGTCTGCATTCTTGTGGTTGAGGGCTAAAAAGTTCCGTAGATATTCGGCAGTAGTGGTGTGCGAGTACCGAGAATCAACATGGATCCTCCTGCCTGTTTGTGGGCCGGGGGGGTGGGGACTGGTTGGTGATGTACAGCGGAGTCTGCCCTCATGATTGAGTCGTGCCTAGAGGAACATGGTAGTTTCCCACGAAGGGTGACCCCCAAAAAACATTCGCTATAACCCTTATTATGGGGAACCCCCCCAAAACATATATTCCAAATTTTGAATAATTTTGAGGCCTCCACATAAGTCGGCGCATCAGCTTGACACAGAGTGCAGATGCTGACCAGGCTTACACTGAAGCTCGATCAGTCGTGGGCTTAAAAGATTCTGCTGCCGGTCTAAGGGTTGGGTTCAGGGTTTAATGTTTAGGACTTGGGACTTAGGGTTTAGGGTTTCTATGGTCCTGGTCAGTGCTGCCTTAGTTTCTGCAGTATTCCGCAGCATGTTTGGCCATGAGCTTGCTCGGAGGCCCAGTCAGATGCCGAAGGCAAAGTCAAGGAAGCTCAGAAGGCTTAGAGCTGACAGCTGATTCGCGAACTAGCATTGGTCGCTGCTGGAAACTTCTGCAAATTCTGACTGGAAAGCTAAGCTTTATCTGGTTACATGGGGGTTGCTCCTGGGACTTGACTGGCAATTGCAGTGGCATGTCAGGCTTTGGCCGCGCTGGATCCAGAAGTGAAGGCTTTGCAGAAGGACCATTGCATTGAGATGCGTGAGTAGAGAGTCGCTTCATTTGCAGCCGCCCGCGCAGGAGCTCAAGAAGTTTGAGGGGGAACTTGCCGACTTCTGTGCGGGTCTAAGTGCAGGCTGATGCAGGCTGCCTGATGCTCATGTCCGGAGGGCTCAAGGCACCTTGACCAAAGGTGCGGGACCTGTTGCAGCCCTCGCCGAGCTCTCTGAGAGGCCATCATGTTCCATCCTGGATACGATCGAAACGTGAGTAGTTCTTCTCTGGCTCGCAGGATCGAGCCCAGAGAGGTCGTGGAGGCCAGGTTCGGCGCTAGAGCTTCTCTGCTCTCATCGCAATTGCTGCCGGTTAGAACGGTCTTGAGTCAGAAGCTTTCAGAGTCCGAAGGAGGCTCCGGCTGCTGTGGAGCCAGGACTCTGCATGTGTGTGAGTATCCGCCTTCAGATCTAGTGTGGAGCGGGCACGGCCTGCGGAGTTTTGATGCGATCTGTTGGTATGCTGAATCCTTACTGAGGCGGGGACCGTGCTCTGAAGTGTCCTTCAAAGACTGCATTGCGTAGGCTATGACATGCTTGAACGTCTTAAGGACAGAATTGGGGGTATGATCTGCCATGACCGCGGTATCCTGTGGTGATTTAGCCCACCCGCATTTTCAAGCTACGGCAGCAGGTAGTGTTGGTGATTCTAATCCCTTTGGGCACCTACATTTGTCATCGGCCACAGCCCCAGGAGCAGAAGCTGCTGCTGTTGAACCCGTCGCCTGACGACTTGATGAAGGCGCCGTAGTCGGCACAGGCATGCGTTTCCACTCCTTTCAACTGAAGACCTCACGAAGTCATTCAGACCCACTGCACTCGCGGTAAGCCATGGTAAACTTGCATGTGAGGCTTGGATCCGTGACGCGGTCTCACCGATGGGGCTCTGGGGATGCAGCCCTGGCTCTCATTCAGCGAATGGGCCAATTAGACAGGGTTCCCAAGGTTGCCGGATTGAAAGCCTCAGAAATCACGACGTAGTCTGACACGCAGTCTGACGACAGTCGAAATGTGGGTCCAGCTTCTCCAGCGTGACCTTGGGCAGCCAAATTTGCCGGCGTCACACGATGCCTGCCGACAGCTGCCAGCCTCAACACACTGATGACAAAATGTGAGGGCCTCCGGTGACAGTTTCCTATGTCGGTCGGTGGGGTTCTTTGGTCGCGGACACGGTGCAGATTGATCTTGTGGGGTGCTATGGTAGGCTGAATTTCGCTGCAAGGCTTGCCTCTTTCAGGTCTTGCTTGGCCATGCGCACTCACACGCCTACGCCTGCCTTCTGGCTCAAGCCATATCTGAGATTCATTCCACCTGGGCAGAAAGGTACAATTCCTCAGGGCATCTTCCAACATGGCGGCAAGTGCGCCGCTTTATCAAGACAAGTTCGTGCAGATCTTCGCTGATCACATCTCCATCAAGTCCTACTACTTCCCATTTTGCCGCGGGAGGACGATCAATATCGGCGATGCGCCGGTTTCTTGGACCACCGACAAGGAACTGGGCCTGGGGATGGTCGACAGGAAAGGCTGGGGAATGGGACTGAACAACATTTGGTGGGCTCCAGACAGAGTACGTGAGTGGCCTATGGGTCCCCGGCATCTGTGCATTGTGATCACTGTGGAAGGAGACACTTTCCGCAAAGGTTTCAGCGTCGAGGATGATGAAGCTGCCTTGAGAGCCCTGGAGTCAGTTTTGCCAAGAAAGAGGCAGTGAAAGGCCTTTTTTTTACCTGATGTCTTTTGTAGACTTAGCTAAACCGTGTCCAATCACAGAAGTGGTGGCCGACCAGCTAGCCGTGAGGTTCTTTTAAGTCAACCTTGAACACAGCGTGTGTAGCTTGTGTCGTGTACAGTGTGAGGTTGGCCTGAAGGTTGATCAGTGTGCTTTGTCACCACGCCCACATGCACTCAGCTAACATTATGTACAGAGCTGTGTAGGGAAAGACGGAACGAGGTGCTTTTACTGAGCGTCGAACTAAATCTATGGAGGAGTCAGTCCGGTCATGAGATTCAAAATTGCAAGTCTTTGGCTAAAACCGATGGGCGCCAACCCTCAACCGATACCCCTTAAAACTCGCAGAACGGACGGTGCCAACCCTTTTTCGCGTGGTTTCTGCGCTATGCAAGAGATTTAGTACGGCATTCCAATCTCACGTCTAGCTTCGTGGAGCAAGTTGTGAGTCGAAGAGACGTTGTTGTTTGTGTGTCGGAAAGGGCTGGCTGAGTACAGCTCTTTCTCCTGCTTTTGCGCTGCGTTGCGACTCCTTGTCATTCCGCCAGGGATTTGGCCCATCGCTGCTACACTAGTAGTTGAAGGTGGCAGTAGACCTTCCGATGATGGCAAGATGGCACTACCAAAATGGCCGGAGTCTGAGATGCAGGCTTGGGCATGCAACACAAACCGTAAAGATTTGAATCTTGGGACCAACTTGACTGCAGCGGTCAGAGCCGACCTAGTGTGACGGCGTACCAGCAAACAAAACACTTGGGATTCTGCTTGATCCTAGTTCAGCAACAGGATTTCGTTGATTTTGTTGACGGCATATGTCACAAACAGGCTGGTTGGTTGGGTGCCCCAGTGCTTCCTTCGCATGGAACTTGAAGATTAACACGCATATTGTGGAGATCCACGTGCAAAAAGCATTGAGAAGATCCTAAGTAGCAACCTCAACGTTTTCTGGTTAAAAAACAGGGTTTGGGCTTGTGTTGCTTGGTCAGAAATCAGAACGACTTGAAACAAAATGTTGCTTCAGCTTCCAGCCGAATCGCCGTTCCTCTGGAAATCATTGACTAAGATGAAAGGCAGAGCGGTCCGAGAGCTAGGACCATTTTTGGCACGCATGCGCATTTGGAAAATGGAAAAGTTGCTTTCCTGGAAGCAGAGTTCAGGTGCAGCTCCACGGGCAAATGGTTGCATGTGGTGCGACCTAACCACAGCCCAGCCCCGAGACTGTGAGCCAACCATGCAATTCGTGAGTATTGGATGACATTGATGCGCAAGCAAAAGCATGCTTCTTAGAAGCAGTTTGGCTCGAGATCTCGACAGCCGCATTTCCAGCATGGACATCGAATCACTGGTGCAGTTTCCAAGCTGCAGTTGTCAACTACATTGGAAGTCATGCGATTACCCGCAACTTAGTCGCTTGCTGGTGGATTTTGAATCAAGGTCCATGCTTGCTTCGCTGTACGATGAGGAGGAGGAGCGCAAGCCCCACGGAGTGCACACCTCATGGACCTAGTGGCAAACCACTCCCGGTAGGAGTACTTGCAGGGCCAATACTTCAATCACAAGTGCACCTGCCCGTGCTTTGCACGCAGGACACGCTGAGCGATGGAGAGTGTCAGGATGCACTGCAGCTTGCTCCGCATCGAGTTTTTGCTTGATTAGATCCATGGCAATAATTTGGTATGGTGCGGCCGGTATCTGCTAGCTAATGCAGGTCAGCGGACACAGCCGGGCTGATGGGACAGTCAGTGCCGCCCTCAGTTGGCAGAAAAATGCACCACCAAGAATTGCCATTTTGCATGACCAAGTGTACACCTTCCTCTAATAAATCAGTGCGTGCCATATCGCCATGCGCAGCATGGGCCTGGGACCTTGTGGCGGCTGGATGTTCTCAATTCCGAACTGAATTCCGGCAAAAAGGGAATCCACAGCTCGGTTCGTTTCGGGTTTGAACGTGTTGCGATTCACAGGCAATTCAGTTCGCAACGGGCTCGTCTCCATCCGGTTTCGGCTCAATGCAGTTCCACTCAAGGCCAGGTTAAGCCCTAATCCTTACCTTAAACCTTAAACCCCTGAATGAGGGTATGTAGGAGTACTCCCCCGCAAGCTGGCAAGTGGAGATCTCCTGAGTCCTACACACAGAGGTATATATATACCACATCATAACACATGCGTGTGGGTAAGTTCGGTTCTATGTTCAGTTCGGGTTCCGCGCGTCAGAATGTTGGCGCGTAGCGGCCCTGCTCCGTTTTCCATACGGTTCGCTGCAGTTTTGTTCCTGACAATTCAGTTCCTTGGGCTCGGTTCGGTTCCACAAGCTTCCTTGCAAAACATTCTTTTTTCCGTTTCGGATGATGGCTACATAAGTTTTGTGACAGTCTCAACGGTTTGGAAAGCCAGAGCACTTGGGACCCGTAGCCTCTCTCCCATGAGAATGAGTTGTATGGTATGGCTATCATATGCAGGGTGTCGTTTCTTGTTTAATACCAGCTTTCCCGAGGCAGGGCCGAGTTGGAGTCCGTTTGACTCGCCGCTGGCTTCTCAGAAGGGATGGAAGCTGATCAAGTTCGCGGATGTCGGCTGACATGAGGCTTGGCCTGCTCGCAGCCTTAGAAGCCATGGTCTTGACGGTTCCGTCTTTAATCCCGTTAGTTCTCAGGGTTTGGGAATTGAGGGCATGCGATGTTTGTGCTTTTAAGGGTTCAAGGCTTGAAA